GCCACCTTCCTCTCCATCCCCACAGAGGAATGCCAAGCATCCCGCTTTCAGTAAATGTCCTAGTCCTCCGCCTGACCCGGTGACACCACAATGCTGACAGTTACCATCCACCCTCACTAGCACATGGCGCCAAAGAAGGATAAATAGATGCCCTGCAAACAAAATGAATACCTGCTTACCTCTCTCAACTGATGAGGGAGTTTTCCCCATTAAAGATGCAAGGCACTCGGCATTCAGTGAGTTCCTGACGATGAATGTTTATATTCAAGGTCACAGAGCACATGATACATTTTCACACTTTCCACAATGGCAAGTACAGGACAGGGGTTTAAATCATCGCCTGGGGAATGGCCGGGAAAGGGCTGGTTCCAGGGTGCCCCGAGGTATTGGTTTCTGAAATTGCCTGTGTAAATCACAGCGATGTGTAACAGCATCATTGGTCGACAGGAGCAGCCCAGCTTCATGGAACCATTCTCTTCGATTTAGATGAAATCATTGGTGATGATTAGAAGTGTAGAATGTGATTCTTAGAAGAAACATCAGGAAGGAATTCACTGGCTGTAGCAGGAAAAAAAAAAAAAAGATCCATTTCCATCAGTAATATAATTGGCGGGCATTGTGTGCGTGTGTGTACCATTGACTAAAGGCCAATCTTTGTGTTAAAATAGACAAACAAAGCCTGTAATTGAGAGTTGGTGTTGACTCAGCACACACCTTGGGAGGTGGCTGATAGGTTAAATATAATAACCTTTCAATCACTAATTTGTCAAGGTCTTTTTCAAGAGGTCTCTCTCCTTGACATCTGCAGACACATATATTTTTAAAAACAAGGTTACCAGTGTGGAGCATGCCAGAGGTATCAACCCCAAAGCCTCTCAGGGAATGTTCCAGAAAGCAAAATGATACAAGTCTTAAGATTGGGAGAGTAAACGTAAGTGCAGTTTTTCACTCAACAAATATCCAATTAGTGTGTTAACTACACTGAGGAGACATTGAGGCCATAAATAAGTGATGGATTATTTAAAAACACACATCTTAATGCAAGTGTGAACAGCTAATTTGATTGTAAGAAAATACATATATCTTAATGGTAATAGTGAGATATATAACAGCCATTTTAAAAGAAGAGACAAAAGGGACCATCTAGAAGTAATAGGATTTTTTTTTTCACTGCTTCCCAATACTTACATTCTCTGCCACCTGGTCAATTCCTTCATTTATTCATTGATTCTTGGCATGTTTATTGAGAATCCCCAGTCAGTAGGGCATATGGGGGCACTGAGGACAAGAATAATCAACTTCATCTCCAAAGATTGCAGAATTCAAAGACATGCAGGAAAAGCATCATGAAATATAGTGTGAGAAATATATTTAAACTAGAGGCCCGGTGCACAAAATTCGTGCACTCATGGGGGTCTCTCAGCCCAGCCTGCGCCCTCTCGCAGTCTGGGAGACCTCGGGGATGTCCGACTGCTGGCTTAGCAGGGAGTGGGCCTAAGCCAGCAGTTGGGCATCCTTAGCGCTACCATGGAGGCGGGAGAGACTCCCACCACCGCCGCTGTGCTCGCCAGCCATGAGCCCAGCTTCTGGTTGAGCAGCGCTCCCCCTGTGGGAGTGTACTAACCACTAGGGGACAGCTCCCACATTGATCGTCTGCCCCTTGGTGGTCAGTGTGCATCATAGCGACTGGTCGTTCCACTGTTTGGTCAATTTGCATATTACCCTTTTATTATATAGGATCATTCAGTCAACTGTTCAGCAAATTCTTCTGCAGCATCTACTATGTGCCAGGCCCTGGAGGTATGATATTAAATGAAACAAGGCCAGAGTCCTACAATCTAATGGATCAGATTCTTGTTAATGAGTCCCGACCAATCATTTAGCTGGATGATAAAGATAGGATGAGTTATGGATCTCCACAGGGGCATGGGCCACTGCCAAATGTCACTTAGGGTTGCACAGTCCTTTTCCCATTTGGAAGGAGGAACAGACAGGCAGATTGGAGCTTCCCCTAGTGAGCAGTCTTCACCTTGAAGTCCAACGTCCCTTGGGATCTGGGTCTCCTGAGACTCTTTTTTTTTTTTTAAATATATTTTATTGATTTTTTACAGAGAGGAAGGGAGGGAGACAGAGAGTCAGAAACATCGATGAGAGAGAATCATCGATCAGCTGCCTCCTGCACATCTCCCACTGGGGATATGCCCGCAACCCAGGTACACGCCCTTGACCGGAATCGAACCTGGGACCTCTCAGTCCGCAGGCCGACGCTCTATCCACTGAGCCAAACCGGTTTTGGCTCCTGAGACTCTTATACACCCAGAGGACAGGGACCATGCTGCTGGCATCAAGGACCTAATTAGTAACTGGAAGAAGAGGTGACTCAGTTCCATCACAAGGGAAGGAGGAAAAATTAGGGCATGCAATAATAACACCAACAAATGATGGAAGAAAATGAGCCAACTCATTACTAACTGGGGATGAAAGAAGGAATGGCGGATTGGATGTCTCCTATCCCACCCCTGCTAACCAGGGCCACATGAAACATTTCAAACAAGACACTAGGATACCTGCCAAGAGAAACATTCTCTCAGAGACGGAGGCTGGGACAGGGGTCCCGTTTCCCAGGTCACTCCAGTTTCCAGGGGTGAGTGACCTTGTAGTGGAAGGTTCTCGACACAGCCCTCCCCTGCTCTGCCGCTGGGAGAGCGGTGACCACCCCATTCTGCTTGTCCCACTCTGCGTGGTCACATAACTGTCGGGGTTGATTTGTATCAGAAAGGGTCACTCCTTTAGGCCACTCGATCAGAAACCGTCTTATTTTGGGAGTACGTAAGACCTCTATTTTTAAAAACTGACTTCGAAATCTTTTTCCTTTTGTGTTTCAGTCATTGTCAAAGGGATGGGTTTGGGGGTTTTGTTTGCCCAGCACCCCTCTTCCAGCCCACTGAGCTTTCCTCCTGTTTTGTTGAAAGCTTATCCAGTGGCGGCTTGCAGGGACAGAGCCCTGTGACAGCCAAGATTAGGAGGCTGCGACTCTGGTTTCCAAGTGCCTTCTCGGCACCTACTTTATAATTACATGCAGACACACTTACCCCTCGGAATCCTGGTCACAGGCTTGATTTTTCTTTTCCTCCTCTTCAAAGATACTTCTCTTTGAGAAAATGGTCTTTGTTTAGCTTATGATTTTTTTCAAGATATTCATCTGAAGGGGAAAGGGTTGGCGTGTTTGATTTTTATTTGTCTTCTAGGATCTTCACTTTGCATTTTTGTCCCATGTTCACTTCCCTGACTTCCTTCTTACCCTGGAATCGTGTTCTACTGACGTGCTTTCTTCATTGTGGGGCTTGCTAGCTTATGGGTGTTTAGGTTTCTGTTTTAAGACACCCCTGTGGCTTTGAGAGAAGTTTGGAAAAGCAGGAAAAGACAAACTATAAAGTTGTTAATATTGTGGATAACATGGTACCTGAGAAAACTTACCAAGTGCTTGTGGGAAAGCGAAAAGGTCGCAAAAGGTAACGGAGCAACACGTTTCTTTCCCCTTCTGTTTCCCAGCCCGGATCCTGTACTCCAACCCAGCAGCCTCTTTCCTCCCCAGCTGCCCGCCTGTTCCAAGCTCCCCATGGGTACACTCCCTCACCTCCCTTTTCTGCCCTGGCCTCATCCTTTGCATGAGGTGGGTTTCACTCCTCCCCGCCCACACTATCTCTTCTCTGAACCTTCCTGTGCATGTACGTGAGTCCTTCCTCATTCCCTGGCTGAAATCCATCTCATTCCTAGAGGTATAATCTGCCACCTTTCTGGAAAATCTATAGGGCTTTGGTTTTGTTTTTCTAAAGAGAATTACACCCTTCATTTCCCAAGTAACGCTACCAATTTTTTGGGTCTGAGCAGGGCCTAGTAAGAAAGAGGTCTAAAAATCCCCATGGGCATCACTGCTTAAGGGTCTTGCCTTGGGTGAGTGCAGGTCCAGCACATCTGGCCTAACCCCTGCTCCCATACTCAGCCTCTCCGAAGGCCCGATCAGCGTGGTGAGGGCCTCACTTAGATGTCACCTGTCTTGTGGCTTCTGTTTTATACCCCGAGGAACACTGAATTATTACAGTTCACGGGAGTGTGAGGCCAGACATAACTCGGTCCCACCCTTTCATCGGCAGGGTCTTCTGAAAGAATGTAGTGCCTTGGGACTTGATTTTTGGAGTCAGAGCTTTGGGAAATGACATCTATCTGTTTCCTTCCTTAGCAGTGCCTTTGCTTTGGATGGAGATGAATGTTCTTGCAGCCCAGGCAAATACTCCATTTCATAGGTATTGTGAGATGAGTAGAGCCCAGCCTTTACCCACTCAGTGCTCACCCACCAGCCCGCATAACTACTCCTGGGACAAGAGCCTACATTGGCTGCAGGGATGCAATCAAGTGAGCATTCACTGAGGAGCGAAGGGGTTGCTTCCGGGGCTGTTGGAATATGTTCTTCCCTCATGTAAGGTCGAATGTGCCACTTGTTTGTGTGCTCTGGAAAGATACCTCTCTCTTGGCTCTGAAGGAGAATTATCTAATCTTTTAAGCTTATTTTTATGTGGAAACATGAAGGGAATGGTTTTTCCAATCTATACTCAGATTCACCGATTTTTAATCAGAATGGAAAATATTCAGTAGCTTCTCCTATTAAACGTGGTTTCAAAAAGACGATGTTTATACCTTCCAGCACCTGGTGCACCTATTGACACATAGTAGGTGTGCAGAAAGTGTGTTCCACAAGTAAAGGAGGACCCATAATGACTCCCACATACTTGGTCTCCTGTGTACAGAAAGATGGATGAGTATTTTGCACCGAGTAGTGGCCACGAGTTAACGGTCCCTTCCCTGTAGCTTATTATACTAAAGAGTAAATACCAAACCTGCAGGAATAAAATAAGATTGTCTGACAAGTCAAACTGCGTGCTGACCTCTTCCCCGGTTGTAAACGCAAGCACTCCGTGTCTGTTTGTGTCCCTTCTGCGCAGATGCCCAGCCCACGGAAGGCGAACGGGAGATATGGAACCAGATCAGCGCCGTCCTCCAGGATTCCGAGAGCATCCTCGCTGACCTGCAGGCGTACAAGGGCGCGGGCCCGGAGATCCGAGACGTATGCCAGTGACAATACCCAGCTGACAGCACCCTTGCGGGAGAAGGGAAACACACACACACACACACACACACACACACACACACACACACACACACAGCAGGATTAAGTAATAGGCCTAGTATTTCCTAGTGTAGTAGGAAGAACAAGGACGGTAATGTGTCCTTTCAAAAAAAGCGTATGAATAACCCCTTGTATTGGAGGACATTAATCTGAGCACACACTGCTGAAGGCCATGTCAAATATTAGCCATTCTCTTCCCAGACACACATGTGATATTGCAAGACTCACATGCACACAATGATTTGTCAGCCTGTTACTTCATTTGAAGGCAACATACATAGAAAGCCTGTGAACAGCAGTTGAAATATGAGTCATGAGACCTGGGTTTCTATGAACTTTCCAACATTTTATAATAATTTGGGCGGGTTCCACCGGCACCACAAACAGCAGTCATGAACTATCTCACTGCACGTAGCCTGCAGGGCTGTCATTTGGAACTGACTTAGGAGATTTAAAAATAAATAAATACATGAAAAACAAGACAGCCACCAAAGCAAAAAAGGAAATTGTCAGTGTGGCTTTTGAGACTTCCAAATGCCTGAAAGGCGAGGAACTTCTCACCCTTCTTATTTGAAAGAATTAGTTTTGTGGCAGTACCACCACATACACACATTCATGTGCACACACACATGTACACACAGACATACACTCCCCTACTGCCGCTGCCAAAATCCTTCTGGAAAATAAATACCACTGACGTCACAATCCTCCAGCTGCTGAAGCCCAGACAAAACAGCATTTCTAAGAAAGTAACAGCCTGTTAAAAAGTTGTTTTTCTACTTAGGAGGTCACCATGAATGTAGGTAATTTAGGTAACATCACAGACTGGCAGGAATGCAACACGTATTACAGAGAACAGAAAAGATCTACAGAATTTTCATTTCACAATGAGCACCAGCTCTACTTAGAAGAATAAATGGTGATGGAGGAGGGTTGCATTGCTTTCTGTTAGATGTGAATTTTTTACATGTAAGATAAGAGAAACTAGTACATTGACCCAGGATCTAATTGCAGAGTCATTTGCATTATGAACAGTGCTAAAACCTCCATTCTAACGGAGCATCCTGGAGGACAGTCTGATCAACTGACGTCCATTTAACAAGTGCACATTAGTAAAGTGCATCGGAAATTGGGTTTTTGAAAATGTAGATTCTCTCTGAATTTGAAGTCATTTTGATGTGGGGCTTATTTTCTTTCTAAACAATCCTGTGATTTTTTTATAGGCCATTCAAAATCCCAATGACATCCAGCTTCAAGAAAAAGCGTGGAATGCAGTGTGTCCTCTGGTCGTGAGGCTAAAGAGATTTTATGAGTTTTCCATAAGGCTAGGTGAGTTCGTGTTTCTAGTTTCACGTCCCACGTGTGAAATTGTATTAGGGTGTTGGTGAAAGTCACAGGAAGAACTCAGTGCTTGAGGAAATGGCCCACATCCACTCGCTGTGTCTTCTCAGAGGCCATTCTTGGACAACAACACCTGTCCTTTTCATTTCTTTCAATTCACCACAATGTTTCTTTTCCTGAATATCTTGGCACGTTTAGAGTGTCTCTATTGGTGGTCCCTTTGGTCTTATTCTCAGCTAAGCGCGACTCTAAACAGTTTCACTGTGTTCTGATCACATTTCTGGGTGACAGAGAAGTTGGGAGATTCAGTTTACCTGCTAACCCAAGAAGAACTTGGTTGGCAGGAGTCGTGATAAATTTAACACAGAAAAATTTAATATAGAAAATTTTTAGAAAAACAACAGCAACAAGACAAATAGAACCCTGTCAGGTATAAGATGGCTTTGCAGGAGCAAGAGCAAAGTCAGGCCTGCTTGACAACAGGCTCAATGTGAACATCGATCTGATGTCACCACTCCCCTCAACAGGAAAGCTGAGGTTTCCTTAGCCAATATGTCTACAGCGGTTCTCGACCTGTGGGTCGTGACCCCTTTGGCGGTTGAACGACCCTTTCACAGGGGTCGCCTAAGACCATCCTGCATATCAGATATTTACATTACAATTCATAACAGTAGCAACATTACAGTTATGAAGTAGCAACGAAAATAATTTTATGGTTGGGTCACAACATGAGGAATTGTATTTAAAGGGCCAGAAGGTTGAGAACCACTGGTCTAAAATGAAGAAGGGGCATAGCCATGTTCTACTCTATTTTTGCCACAAATAAATGCTACATTTTAAAAAGAAAACAGTTAATTGAGGAGAATAATAGTGATGATGTTGAGAGAACTTGAAGCTAAGACCCAGAAGGAGTAGTTGAATGAACCGAACCAGTTTTTCAGGAAGAAAGAGCTTTTGAAGACTCCCAGGTTGATGCAGGATCAGTTTCACTGTTTCCTCAAAGTCTATATCTCGACCCATGAACTGAAACCTATGGAACATGTTTCAGTTCAACAGAAGGAAAAGGTAGAACTAGCTGCCTCAGAAGACAGTGCAGTCCCAGGGGTGGAAAGGGCTGGAAACACCCTTGTAAAGATGCTGAAGGACATTAAAGGACTGTAGAGCAGGTCCTGGCAACATTTCTGTAAAGAGCCAGATAATATGTATTTTAGGCGTGTGGGCCATCCGGTCTTGCAACTAATCAACTCTGCCATTGTCACATAAAACTCCCTATAGCCAATATAGAGAGGAATGAGTGTGCCTGTTTTTAAATAAAACTTTATTTAAATTTTTTATAAGACTTTTAAATAAAAGGGCCAGTTTTGACCTGGGGACCATAGTTTCCCAACCCCTAATGTAAAAGGTTGATTAAATGACTCAGTGCTATTAGAAGTACATTGACTTGAAAACTGGAGGGAACGTTTAAAAACAGACAAGTGGGTGTAATGTGACGGGCAATAATGGAGGTAGATATGGCAATGGGTTAGTAGAAGAAATATTGCTGGGAATAGGTGAGACTGTAGATGCCGAGAAGAGCGGGCATGGAACCCGAGATCTCTCCCTGCAAAGCAGGTTATCTGACCCATGTGTTCTGGGCCACCCTGCCTCATCCTGGATCATGAATGGCTGTCTCATGCACATGATCCAAAAACATGTGTTTATGGTTTCCCAACACTGTTGGCAGTTGGCACTACTGAACAGGGGAAGGTGCAGCTGAGCTTGGAGAGACATTTACATAACCGTGGGGCCATGGCGCGGGGTTGGGAGGGGACTTCTGCAGTGGAGGCAGCCTGCTCAGCGTGAAGGCTCCTTCTCTTCCTGGTCCACACACATCATATTGCCCACAGTGACATGGAAGCACAGGGAGAAGAAAGACTCATCCCGGCAGGTTATCTCTGAGAATGTCAGTGGGGGCTGCAGATGGTGCCTTTGAAGGATCTCTGTAGGCCATCTCAAATATGTATTTATCCCTTTGACTTTCAGAAAAAGCTCTTCAGAGTTTATTAGAATCTCTGACCTGTCCACCCTACACGCCAACCCAGCACCTGGAGCGAGAGCAGGCACTGGCAAAGGAATTTGCGGAAATACTGCATTTTACCCTTCGATTCGATGAGCTGAAGGTTAGGCCGCATATGTTTGATGATTTACTAAGCTTGTACTGAGTTCCTACTGTGTACAGATCCTCTGCAGTGCTGTGGGGTGGGGAGTAGAGAGACATGAGTGAGATGCCGTAGCTCCTTCCCTAGGGAGACATAGAATGTGGTGAGAATTTGCACTCATTGTGGTAAAGTGACTTAAGATGGTGGTTTTCATGTGAAAATTCAAATTCTGTTCATGCAATAAGAGACATTTCGAGTATCTGCTCATTGAGAACAAATATACTTCCCCGTGAAAACAGGGCATATTTTTAAATAATGAAGCTCCGAGAGCTTATTTTTAACCAGAAGTTGCATGGACTCGTGTAGCAAAGAGAAGTCTTGGTGTGTTTGCAGATCTAGTGCTGGGCTCCCCATGTGAATTCCCCACCTGATGCTGACAGATGCCCTTCTCCCCTCCCTTCTGAATTTCAGATGAGGAACCCGGCTATTCAGAATGACTTCAGCTACTACAGGAGGACAATAAGCCGCAACCGCATCAACAACATGCACGTGAGTGCCTGGGTCTCTTGGGTCTAGACACCCGCACTCCACATCGCTTTTGGTGTCTGCATCGGGCAGGTCTCAGGGAGAAGATAGTCTTGTCTACATTTCAATTTCCAGGGAACATTGGGGAATTTCACCATCTCTTTATCAATCGCATCTTCTCTTCTTGTTTTTATCAGCTAGACATTGAGAACGAAGTCAATAACGAGATGGCCAACCGAATGTCCCTCTTCTATGCGGAAGCCACGCCCATGCTGAAAACCCTTAGCAATGCCACCATGCACTTTGTCTCCGAAGTAAGTGGACTTGAGCAACGAGGTGCTTTTTCCTTAATTGCGGGTAAAGGCTCCTGGCAGAGCTAACATCCATTTGTGTCTCCCACTTAGAACAAAACCCTGCCGATAGAGAACACCACAGACTGCCTCAGTACCATGACGAGCGTCTGTAAAGTCATGCTGGAAACACCGTAAGTGACGTCCGAGCTGTACTGGTGGCCGAGAGCTCACCAGGCAGAGCCTGTTGGTGTAATGATGACGATGACTCCTAACCACTGGGTCAGCACATTAGCAGTTACACATCCGTTACCTGAATTAATCTCATAAAGACCTCTTGGTGATAGTTGTCTTTATCCCATGTCAGAGCTGGAGAAGATGAGCTAACTCCCCAAGGATTGCAAAACTTGTTAGATGGCAGAGCCAACACTCGAGTCAAAGATGCTGTAGAGCCCTAGCCGGTTTGGCTCAGTGGATAGAGCATTGGCCTGCAGACCGAAGGGTCTCAGATTCGATTCCTGTCAAGGGCATGCACCTTGGTTGCAGGCTCCTCCCCAGCCCTGGCCCTGGTTGGGGCACATGCAGGAGGCAACCAATTGATGTGTTTCTCTCACATCGATCTTTCTGTCTTTCCCTCTCTCTTGCACTCTCTCTAAAAGATCAATGGAAGAATATCCTCAGGTGAGGATTAATAAAAAAACAAAGATGCTGTAGAAATTGTGTAAGAATCAAGTGGAGGATTGGGTGAAATAACTGGATATTATTAGTAATATGTTGGAGAAAAGATTTGAGAGAAGATTTAGAACCAGGAGAAGTGATAAGACTGTTACAGGAGTGATAATGAAGATATCTCTCTCTCTCTCTCTCTCTCTCTCTCTCTCTCTCTCTCTCTCTCTCTCTCTCTCTCTCTCCCAGCAGTCTCTTCAGTCTCTTTGTATTTAAGCTGGTTGCTAGATTTTTAAAAAATGGTTGACTTTGTTGAGGATGAGGCAGCATGGGAATGTGGAAATTCACACTCAAAAGTCAGGGTTCCACTTATATCTGTAGCCCCCTCTGGGCCCAGAGACAAGTGGTCTGAATTGCCTGGGCCCTGGTTTCCTCATGTGATACCATTCTCAGAACCCCATCTAAGTTGCAGAGTGTTTGGGATGCCCAAAGGGATCAAAAATGCCTTATAAAATTTGATGTTCTGTTCACGTGGAAGATGGTATTAATTTCAAATATTTTGCTTATACCAAAGTTAATAGTTATTCCAAGACAAAAACAGTAAGCATCTTCATTGAAGGGCCAATTCATAAGGAAATAGATATTAAGAAAGCCTCTGGTATTGGCCACAATTATCTGAATCATCAGAGACCCTATCAGGGTAAGTGCACAAAATTCAGACTTCATGAATACTCACAGCCTGGTGACTGGCACATCGTTTCTTTAAGGTATCTTCCACAATTTAATTCAGTCTGCAGCCTGTATCTTAACAAAGGAAGTTACCCTGACTGGAGACACGATAGCTGCTCTGTGGAAATGAGCTTGATTCTTTTTCTCTATAATGAAGCCATTATTCTCTATAATCTTGGACAGCCAGAGGGAACTGCTATAAAATATTCAGGATTGATGGGTGGGGAGTGATGTACGCGCTGAGCTGGCTCACTGAAGGGCAGAAGAGAAGAGAATTGACTGCCCTCTAATTTACCTTATTTTTGCACTGAATTGCTGGTGGGATAGATTCGAGGAGAATTATCATCATGGGTTTCTAGAAGAGCATATTAACCTGGTTAGGGCAGGTCTGGGATTGTTCTCAAGAGAGGATTGGAGGAGTCTCCGGCAGCCAGTGTGGAGCCAGACGCGAGCATGCTCGGGCCAGGAAGTAACCCCCCTGCCGTTTCCCCTCTCTCCCAGGGAGTACAGGAGCAGGTTTACGAGCGAAGAAACGCTGATGTTCTGCATGAGGGTGATGGTGGGGGTCATCATCCTCTACGACCACGTCCACCCCGTGGGAGCTTTCTGCAAGACGTCCAAGATCGATGTAAGAATATTATAAAATGTGCTTTCCAATAAGAGTACATAAATGCTGCCAAGGAGACCTTGCTTCTCCCTCCTCCACCACCCACTAGGAATGACCTCTCCAAGACACAAGCCCCATCCTGGTCCCTCTCCTCATAGGAAGAAGTCCAATCCTTTTTATGTGCTTACAACAGAGCATCCAACCTCAAAAGCATATCGGGAACGTGGAGGAGCTGATCCGCTCAGCCAGTAGAGGAGCTGAGCAGATGAACAGTCACTTAGCTGCAAGTGCCCCTCAGTTTATCCGTGTTATACAAATATATTTTTATTTTATTTTTAAAATATATTTTTATTGATTTCAGAGAGGAAGGAAGAGGGAGAGAGAGAAATAGCAATGATGAGAGAAAATCATTGATTGGCTGCCTCCTGCATGTCCCCTACTGGGGATCGAGCCTGCAACCTGGGCATGTGCCCTTGACCGGAATGGAACCTGGGATCCTTCAGTCCAGTACGCAGGCCAACACTCTACCTACTGAGCCAAACCAGCTAGGGCAAAATATATTTTTAGTACGTTATATGAAAAGCATTAGGAGATACTGAATCATAAGACACCCTCCTCAAATCACAAACAACATTCCAACTTCCTCTCCACCCCACTTTCCAGTGCCTCCACCAGATTCCCATGCCTTTTGTCATTGGCAGGTGCCTGAGCTCTTTTCCCTGCCCTGAGCACCCTTCCTCTTCTCTTGTGGGTGGATTCCTTTAAGACCCTCCTCAAATATTCCTCATCCTGCCCCTGCGAGGATCAGGGCCTTCCTTCTTTTCCAACCCCGAGAGCATTTACCATTTTGGGTTTTCTGACTCCCTCACAGACACAGTTCTTTGACTAGAGCAGAGACCATTCTCTATACACCTAATGTCTGATTTACTGCTTAGGAGTGCCCATGGCACATAGGGCATGGGACTCAATAGATGCTCCACAGAGCTTTTGCTGAATGAATGAATGAATGAATGAATGAATATAAGGGGAAAACAGTTGATGTTGGTGTGCAAGTGATTTCCTGTTGATAGTGGGATAAAAACATGCGTCCTCTCAGCCCAGCACTTGCTTCAAGCACCCCCCTGTAGTGTATTCCATTTGTTGACTTAAAGCCTTTTAAGTACAGAATAGGACCTCTTTGTACTAACAGTCTGGCACCCTCTATGCTCCTTCATCTGCACAGAACAGTGTCTTTGATGCTTTAGTCCTGGACACACAGAAAGTCTACCTGCTCAGAGGGGCCATGAGTGTGCAGAATGTGAGAAAATCTATCAATGAAAAATGCAACCTGGATTACTCATTTTGAGGTTCCAGCTTCCTAACACAGCTAGACATGACTCTTCAGGGAGTCTTACTTACTTTTCTGTAATTATTTGTTTACCAAGAAAATATTTAGTGGTAAGTGCTCCTCCTATCTCCAGTCTTGCTTCCTCTGCTCCATTTCTGTATTAGTCACATTGCTAGATTATTTAACACTCACCAAGGGTGTTTTCTACAGGAAAATTCCCCTAACTTCCTAACATACAATGAACCCCACATTGAATCTAGCCCTGACTATATTCCTGACTGCATCTTGTTATTCACACCCTGCCGGGAGCCGGTCCATGCTTGCTGTTTCAAGGGACCTGGCATATATAGCATACTGTTCTTAATATGTTTGCTCACCTTCTTGGCACTATGTGTTTTAACCAAGGTCTCTGAGAAAGGTTGTTTCCCCAGGTAGGGATTTTCCCCTGAAGTTAGGGAGGGAATAAAACCTCTTAACTAAGTGCCAGGTGGGTAATTAATCACTTTAACTATGAACAATCATGCTTAAGCTACATAATCTTTACTCCCTGGAATGGAGATAAGAAACGCCCTAACCTTTGTAATAGAGTTTGATAGGATTGAATCAACTGGTATAAATACAGATGTAATAAGACAGCAAGAGACAGAACTTAGAACACAGAACTTAGAATACAGAGCTTAGAACACAGAACTAAGAAGACAGAACCTACACAGAACTAGAGACAGAAGAACTTCGCTGGAGAGAACATGGCAAAAGATCCTGGACTGAACCTGACTACAGAAATTGGCAAGAGAACCTGACTAGAACCTGGTAACTGAACCTGGCTGGAGAACCTGGACAGAACCTGGCTGGAGAACCTAGCGAGGGAACATGGCTACAGAACCTGGCTGGAGAACCTGGAGAACCTAGCAAGAGAACATGGACACAGAACCTGGCTGGAGATCCGAAGCAGAACCTCTCTGGAGATCCAGACCAGAACTTGGCTGGAGATCCTGGCTGGAGATCCTGGCTAGGCTGCTGATCAACTGAACGCTGTCTCCGTGTCATTCCTTCTTTGCCGACTCCGTCCACACCTTTGGGGACCCCTGGACCCGCTGGGGTTGGACCCCAGCAACACCCATGACTTTAATCAGCCTGAAATAGAACTAGACATTCCTAACGGTTACCCACTGCTCTTACAACCCTGTTCTAATCTATGGTCCCATTGCTCCTTTAGCATCTTTTACAAGAACACATAGGATAATGAGCTATTTGTCTCTCTCCTCCCACTGGACTACAAGCTCTGTTGGGAGAGGGAACAAATCTCTACATCGCGCAGTTTGGCCCCATCCTGTACCCATGATTGGCATCTCTGATTGACCATGACATTCTTTCTCAATAAGCCTATACATGACCCCCAAATGATTCTCAACCCTGTGCTTTGGCTACCTCCATCCTACTATCAGGGTTTATCAGGCTTTTAAGACAAACTTTCACACTGGCTGGGTAGCTCAGTCAGTTAGAGCATTGTCTCAATACAACAAGGTTGCAGGTTCAATCCCCAGCACCTTTAAAAAAATCAATCAATGAGTGCACAAATAAGTGGAACAACAAATCGATGTTTCTCTCTCTCTCTTTCTTCCTCTCTCTCTCTAAAATCAATCCAATTTTTTTTTTAAAAAAAGAAAAACTTGCAGCATACCAGAGGTATACCCCCAGAAAATGTTGATAAGTGGCCATTATAAAAGAGGCCTTGAACGTACCCAAATCTGATACAGTGCATGAACATGTGAGTTTAAAATGAGTGACCATATTCTTTGCAGCAAGATTCTTCCTTTGTCAAAAAAATTTTCCAGGATATGCATGATATACTATGATCTAAATTTGATTTTCATGATCTCCCCAAATTTTGAATAAATTATATTCCAAAGGCACAAAAGCCAAGAAACTTGCCTGGGTTCGTGAAGATATTAATTTAACAAATAAGCATGGATGAAACCCAGTCATTCTGCGTCCATGCAGATCACATTCCCAACCACTGGTCTTTCCCAGTCCTCTCCTGTCTAGTGAGGGAGTCAGGCAGTGTGGGCACTAACACCTCTGAGGTTCTCTAACTGCCAGTGCACTATTCCGAATGCAAGAAGGTGGCGGTGACTTCCACCTGGTGAAGGTAATGCAGTCAGAAGAGGCTTCCTGGTGTTAGTGATCTTCAGTTGAGTCTTAACAAACAGCTGAAGGAGGAAAAGCATTCAGGGCAGAGGGATGGGATAAAGTGGTCAGGTTTATAATCCATTCAGCCTCCACTGAGGACCTCCTGGAGGAAAAGCTCTGCCCTTAGCTCTCAGTAAAAGACAAGAAGATCAGAGGCTCAAGTCTGTGTCCCCACACGCCAGATATGTAAAATGCTCAACTACAGGACAGTATAACCTGATGTGGAACCTTCTGGAAGCCCAGAGGAGCAAGTCACTGGCCTGGGGGCGGGGGAAGAAGAAGGTCTGTTGGTCATTTCTGTGAGCAGAAATAATGTGATATTACTATGGACAAATACTATAATGGACAGAAGTTATGGACAAAATTACTAGGATATTAACAAATGCTGTGTTTTCTCCTCCCAGATGAAAGGCTGCATAAAGGTTTTGAAGGAACAGGCCCCGGACAGTGTGGAGGGGCTGCTGAATGCCCTCAGGTGAGCCTCAGGCCCGGGGTAGCTTTGCCAGGGGCGGCCAACCCTTCAGATCCTTTGCGAACGTAGATGCTGTTAGGGACTGAGGGCTAAGGCATCAGGCGTAGTCCTTTGCATATTGTAATACATTTGCTCTTCCCAACAACCTGTTAATAAGGTCAGCGCCATTTTTATCATCTCCTTTTTACAGATGGAAGAAACTGAGATTTAGGGAAGTCAAATAACTTGCCAAAAGTTGCATAGCAGATGGCCAAGCTAGGACCTCAACCCAGGTCTGGGTGACCCCACAGGTTGTGGCCCTAACTCCCAGCCACACTGCTTAATGGTTGTGATTAGTAGGGGCTCGTTAGACAAAGCAGCCTCCCAGGCCTCAGGGATAGATCAGTAATATTCTGCCTGCGTACAACACTTAATGTTTTGTACTCTGCTCCCAGTCACGTTGTCTCATTTCATCATCACAACGCAGAGAAGTAAGGCCCATCCATTATCTTCATTCAGTCAATGAAGGAAGGAGATGCCTATGAAATGAATAGACTAGACACTGAGATTGATCCTGTTTTGTGGAGCTCCTCCATCATTGTTCAGAACGGTTTTAGAATTACTGTAAGAGCCTTCAGGATTCTGAGGGTCAACCAAGGTTTTCTCCAGTGGTGCCCATTTCACAGAAGGCTGGCATTTCATCTTAGCAAAGAGACTTTAGTTACTGAAGTTTTTGGATCAAGCAAGACTTCCAGAGTAGGGCACTGTGGTAGGCTGTGGGTCTCCTGTAAGTGCTGGCATGTGTGTGTCCCCTGGGCACTGTGGTAAAGTGAGACAGCACAGGCTTCTGAGGCAGCCAGACCTGTATCCAAATTGTTCACAAATCCTTCATGGTCATCTTTGTGATCTGGAATGGGTCATGTAGCCTCTCTACATCTCAGTTTTGACATCTGTCAAATGGAGGTAAGAAACTCTCTTGCAAAGAGTTAGTGTCAGTGAAATGAGAACTTACATGGAGAGCCTAGGACATGGTCAAGATTTTATTACATGTTACTTCTCCTTCCTTTCCTTCTCATAAATTATTTCTGCAGCAGGTTAGTAGGAGGATGCAGATGGCATCATTTTTTGTCGTTGTTGTTGTTCACTTCCATTTGTGCCCCCTGGTGGTGTCAATGAGGATAAGTGTTGCCTGGAAAGTAGAAGACTAGAAATGTTTTAGAGCTGCTATGTTGCTATGCAAATCCATATTTTCAAATTCGTGACTTAGCAGGGGTGGCCTAGATGGCCGAGATCCTGCACTCAGTCATGAGAGGTCTACTTCCCTGTAAATGAGACAGCTTAATATCTCCTCCGTAATTATTTGAGTATTTGATCTATTCGTTTAATAATCGTAATACACAATTCCTCTGGAAGGAAGAATCAAATATTCAATCCATATGAGAATACTCTGGGCATTGGAATGTGGCTCTCTGTCTAAAGAACCAAGCCTAAGCTTGATTTATAAATATCATTTATGTCTCCCAAGGCAAAGATGGGCTGGTAAGTCACTATTGGAGCTTTCACAGAGCACTATTTGCACAGTGAACGCCATCATTCTCTCTCCATCCAGGTTCACTACAAAGCACTTGAACGATGAGTCGACTTCCAAACAGATTCGAGCAATGCTTCAGTAAAGCTCTGCTCCAAGAAGAGGATCTATGTACTGACCTCAGAAGATGTATATGTTTACATAATTTAATACAGATTGATGTTAATACTTGTGTATTTACATAACCGTTTCCTTCTTGTCACTGCAATATATGGACCTTAATTTGTATCCTGACTGACTCAACCCAGCAGAGCATAAGTTGACTTGAGAGCCTTACCTTTAATGTCTAAAACAAAACCCCCTCCTCCAAAGGCAAAAGTTGGAGATGTTGAACTTTGCCACTGGAGTCCTTTAACTACGCCTGTAACAATCAGAAATTGCTGATCGTTTGTGGTAGTGTTTAAATTCTAGATGTGTAATCTCTCTGGGAAGTATAGTGATAGAAACACAAAGTATTTGATTTCCTGTATCGGCTCAGCTACAAGAAACATGACTGGTATCCTGGCAGAGAGAGAGAGAGAGAGAGAGGAATCCAGAAAAAAGAAAAATGCATGTGACGGTTCCAGCCCAGGTGTTTGGGATTCGGCGCGCCCCCTCTCTTTCCCGAGACTGCAGACCACACGTGCAGCCTTTCTGTGTGCACGTGTTTTATCATCAGCATTTTCCCTTTCTGCTGGATGTATGCCCCTCTGAAGTCCCCTTTCAGTTTGCAAGAGGAAAATCACCTGTGTTTGAATCAGTTCGCGGGAGAGAAGCCAGAATAGATAGGTGTGCTGTTGTAGGTGGGCTGTCGAAAGTGGTTGTCTTGGAAGTCGGGGACATGTTAGGAGGAAGGACACCCAGACGACAGGACAGATCTTCAACCCTCTGTCACAGGGACCAGGACGCAGAGCTCTGGCTTTGAAATTGTGGGTAAGTTTGCTGACATTGCAGTTATTTGCATAGTGCGGGGCACTCAGCCCCTCCACATAGGAGCTTCGTTCTCTGTGGACCATTCCTGTGACAATAGAGTTCTGGGGTACTCATTAGTTATCAGAAAACGGGGGGAATTTGGAGGGGGAAAAAAATCTATGTTTTCTGGTTACCTTGTCTTTAAAACACAGCTTCTCCCTGACCCCATTGCCAGCTTGTTGCCTTGAGTAAAGCCTGGTCAGAGTTCCTGCAGTTAGCTCTAGCCCTGTTCATTCACAGTGTGATCTGGGGAAACTCACTTCAGCTGTGTCTCACCCTGCTCCTCTCTGAAATGGACATGGAAAACCAACAATCTCCAGGAGCCCTCTCTGCCTAAGACTACCTTTGAGTCGAAGGCTCCCTGTCATTAAAATGACTGACTCCCACATTCTTTCTTAGTAAGTGGAGTCCACTAAGCATCACCCCACCTTATCCTGATGACTGACGGTATGACAAGGCCTAGAGCAGTGGTTCCCCACCTTTTTTGGGCCACGCCCTACCCAAGCTTCTCTAACATCTTGATGCTCCTATGTGACATGTAATTCTTATTATTCAAAAAGTGAACTCCTCTTCACATTAACTTGGTCTAAACAAGCTTCCAAAGAACATGGCATCCATGAAAGAGAAAAATAAAAGAACGAAAGGGCAGTTGAAGTACTGAGGAAGAAATCACTAAGAAATTGTTTAAAAAGTAATATGAAGTGACATGAAAAAAGGCAAATAAAGTTTCAAAACATATAATAGAGAACTGAAATGCATAAATATGTCATAATATATATTTATATACTATATATGAGGCCCCTAGAACCATAAGAAATGCAAAAAATTCACTAATATCTCATTCTCGAATTGCCCCCCTTAAAAATCAAATTGCCCCTCCATGGGGCATGTGCCCCACGTTGGGAACCACTGGCCTAGAGTCATTCTGTCTGAAGATCATAGCTTGGAACGAAATCCAGGAAATCTAATCTCGATTGGAAAAAAAAGAACAGAGGGTGAAGTCAATCAGGACCCTACTGCCCCAATGAAGGACTAGAACCCAGGATGCCTCACTCCCGACTCCATGCTCTTTCCTTTTCACCGTGTGGCCTATATATACTACTATGGGATGAGACTGGATACTTTAAAATAAATCCTCAGTCTGGCCTAGAGAATGAAAGGAAGTTACCAAGTGGATGATCATTCCAGAAGTTGGGTCTGGGTACCTTAGAGCTTGACACCATTCACAATGTCCCAAGAAAGGAGCTGTCACACCACTGCTTTCCAGATTTTTTGGCCAGCTGGCATTCCCTTGAGTCCTCCAAGAAAAGGGGAGGTATACATGTGTTTTGTTTTATTTTTATCAAAGAAATCCAGCCATGGCAGGACAGGTTCCATGGTCTGTATCTAAATGTCAGTCAACAGAGAGAGGAAAGACCCTTTTCCTTAAAGCTTTTCAAGCTAAACCAGTACAGCGGCCTGGGGGGCTCTTCTCCCACCAGAATAGAATCACACTAGTTGGCCTTGGGGAACTTTTCAAGCCTCGGGGTTCTAATGTCCCAGGGGAAGCCAGAAAATGGGGTAACGATGGGTGAACACATTCATTCAATATTCAGCTTAAGAAAAGTTCTTCTGTTTGGCAGCCACATGGTATCCTTGGGCAACAACTGTTAAGACTGGACACATAGAGGCATTGAATGTTCATCATCACTGGGTCTGTTTTCCTCTTTTATCTGGAAAGGAGATTCAGTCTTGGAAAGAGGAATGGACTTGCAGAGCGAATAGTTGAGCACGGGTATCATTTTTTAATTAGACTTTATATCAAAAGGGACCAAATACATGGGAGGGGCTGCTGGCCTGCCCCAGTTTAGCCAGGTGGTCTTTTCTCAAAGCCAAAATTCATTCGCCAGGATGTGGGTTCTCCAAAGCCCAGGGTCTGATAGGTTGCCTCTGAGTGTCAGGAGGCCAGGTTAACTGAATGTCTGTGATCACGGGCAGGTGGTGGACCTTAGGCCCACTCCAGAGCTACTGTGGGAGACAAATTCTTTTAACAGTCTGTCCTCCAGGCATCAGGAGTCCTTGAACAATCATGGTTTCTATGCTGCATGCACATGCGTCCAAGACCTATGGGGGGTTTAGGGAAAGTGCTAACAACAGTCTTCATGTCAATGTTAACTATATTTCATATCTGTTGTCTCATAGTTTACAAATAAACAGTGTTTTCTGTACTCCCATATTTATTTGGGGAGCAAGCAACAAAAGGAAAATTACATTTCTCAGAACTACTGCTATTTTGGCATTATAACTGTTCTCAGAAACTTTTCATGGACCACAAGGAATTAGTGGTTTTAAAAAAAGCTCAAAACAAGTGGCAATAAATGTTTGAATTGTGGCGATCCATTCAGACTGGCATATTAATTAACAACCAGAAAGAAAGTCTTGGATACTATCTTTTAACTACCAATTAATATCATGCTTCCTCAAAGTTCACTCCTAGTCATTACCATTATACCAAGATATTAGTGGCAAACTGAAGTTTTTCATCATTGCATTGAAGTAAAAATAATTTCATGCTTCCTCAAAAGAAAAATAAAACCCTCTCAATTTGGGAATCCAAGTGTCCAGTAGAATTCAGAGACTTCTCCTTCAATTGTGTATCCTAGACAGCTGTGAGTTTTCTAGATACTCATAATAAATGTCGAAATTTTATCTTAAAGAAACAAACCCTCTGAAGCTCAATTTCCCCACTACATCTATGAAAGCTGGTGCATACACAAAGCTGTTTTAAAGTTTTCATATCTTCTTTGCTATCATTGTGATTTTTTGCCTGCTTTGCCTCTTTTTGTACAGAAGTTTTGGGTGTGAAGTGAAAATTAAAATTTGGTACATATATTTAAAAATACACCTCTATTTTATATATGATGTTCAAGGTGGAGTGGGTGATAAGCACATGATCATAGATATGTGGCATGCATAGATATTTGCCAAAGATCTGTTCTGAGCACCAGGAAATCACGTCATCTGCCTTTGACTTCTCTATGCCTCAGTTTCTTCAAGTACAACATGAAATACCCAAAAATGTACTGCTCTTGGTATCAGCTGTGTCTTATTCATTTCAGCAAAGACTCTCCATTAGGAAAAAAGCATAAAATAAGTACAGAAATGCATGAGATATACTTGTCTGAGAAGGCTAAGAAACCCTAATAAATGCTCTTTCAATCATTATTTTAAGGACAGTAGCATTTTGTGAATTCGGAAAAATCAGCAAATAATCTATTCCTTATAAGAACAGTTTTTCAGGCAACTTTAGCACCAAGGCAATTCTCTTCACTGTGGAACATAGAAACTATTCTATAGTATTACTTTCAATGCCTGCAAGCGAATCACCTGGGACCTAATTATGTGTGTTCTCAATGGATCAGGATCCCCAAGAGAACCCTTCTATGGTGTTTTATACAAAAGACAAAAAGAAATTAATAGAAATGGGACATTTTCTATAAATTGACATATGACAAATTATAAGTGGACAAAAGCTGGGAGGGAGGAGAGGGGGAGGGAGAAATCCTAATTAAGTGAGGGTTGAGAGTTCCGTGACAGGAAAAATTGAGTAAAGCATATGTGTGATTGTCAATAAGAATACAGCTAGTGAGGAATTGAACACCCTTCATACCAACCAGAAGGTTTATTGTTAATCAGGGTTCTCTTGGAAGGATAGGATGAAGGGTTCAGCTGGCTGAATTCATGAAACCTGGTGAATATTTGCAATTTGTGTTCACGCCTGATTTTATGCTTTAGGTCAGCCGTGGGCAAACTACGGCCCATGGGCCAGATCCGGCCCGTTTGAAATGAATAAAACTAAAAAAAAAAAAGAGACCGTACCCTTTTATGTAATGATGTTTACTTTGAATTTATATTAGTTCACACAAACACTCCATCCATGCTTTTGTTCCGGCCCTCCGGTCCAGTTTAAGAACCCATTGTGGCCCTCGAGTCAAAAAGTTTGCCCACCCCTGCTCTAGGTTGTCAAGGAGTAGATAGAATTCCTGAGTGTTGGCTGTTTGAAAATTATGCATTCTTGTCCAGCCAGCGTGGCTCAGTGGTTGAGCATCGACCTATGAACCAGGAGGTCATCGTTCAATTCCCAGTCAGGGCACATGCCCAGGTTGCAGGATGCGGGCTCCATCTCCAGTGTGGGTTTTGCAGGAGGCAGTTGATCAACAATTCTCTCTCAACAATGATGTTTCTATCTCTCCCTCTCCCATCTTCTCTGAAATAAATAAAAATATCTTTAAAATTTTTAAAAA